CTCGTCCAGATCCACCTTCCGAGCTTGGATCCCATTCACACGCTTAGCCATAGCAGGTTGTCACACTCATCTCACCCACACATCGCATCCCATCGCATCCCATCGCATCAGAAGCATTCATACACACACACAGACAAGCCTTTCTTCCTTGCACCATGGACGACACTACACCTACCGTTCAGGCCGGACTGGGCGACACCAACGGCGTTGACCCGGCAGAGGCGGCCCGCTCTTCCAGAAAGGAGAACAGAGTCTACGTGGGCAACCTCAGCTACGATGTCAGGAGCAGTCACCTCAAGGATTTCATGCAGGGTGGTGCGTTGGGCTGTGGATTGGGCTAGGGGTTTCTTTTCGTTTTGAGGTGTAGAGCAGAGCGTAGCGGATCGCAGCGCAGTAGAGTGCAATTCGGAAGTGGTTGGAAAGTTTGATGGGGAGATGTGCAGTGCCGTCTCCTTGCCGCTTCATGCGCATGGCAGCTGTTCGATGCTCGTCACAGCTTTCACTCGCTGTCCGTAGGATGCGGCACCGTGAGCGATCCACAATACGCTGGCTCCTGCGGTTCAAGATACCGCTTTCTCCCCATCCCCCCTCTACGGCTCCAGCAAATCCCATAGAGTCGCTGCTTGCTCTGTTGGACACTTCTATCATTCAGCGGCCGATATGGCCACAAATTTTCGCATCTCACACGGATGGCCTCAAGCCAGCAACGCTCGTCACCTAGCTAGCCTCAAGTGATCACTTGGCCAACGGGCAGTACAGGAGAAACAGGGACGGGAATTGCGTAGACGTGTAGTGGCTGCCACCTGCGTTTTGTGGGATGAGCGGACACCCTTCCAGGCATCGTGGGTGCAAAGTGTCCCATCCCTAGGTAAGCTTTCCCACCCCTCCTCGAGACGTGCATGCTGGATGGCTTAACGGGGAGTGCTCAATTGGCTCGATTCCCGAAGTCGCTGCCCGGGATGGTGAATGGTGCTATCACAGCGTGCATGCTGGATGGCTTAACGGGGAGTGGTCAATTGGCTCGATTCCCGAAGTCGCTGCCCGGGATGGTGAATGGTGCTATCACAGCATTTGGAAGTGCGCGTCTCGCTGGCTGTGGCAAATGATTTATAGATAGAGCACTGTAGTGGGCGCGCAGTTTATGAGGCTGCGCCAACAGTCCCCAAGGTGCCATTTTCAATCCCGTCGTGCGAGAAAGGAAAGCTGACTCGGGAGACGTCCCCGGACTATTTTCACGTTCAGCTGGAAGCGTTGTCTTCACTGAAGTCCTCACTCTGCCAAGCGGTCAAAGCAAGGGATGCGGGTAAGTGTGACCATGCCAAGGTGCGCGCTGGAACACGACCTCACGCTCGAAGCACCTCGAACATAGCATCGTCGAATTTTCCACTGCCGACGAGGCTCAGCGCGCGATCAAAGAGCTCAGCGATACACCCCTGATGGGACGTCAAGTCTTCGTCCGCGAGGTGAGTTCGCCGAGAGCAAGGCGCAGCAGTGTCATGGTGCTCAATTGGGCCCAACTTCTTACTTGCAGGACCGCGAGAATGAAGCGCGCTATGGCGCACCCCCAGCACAAGGCCGAGGCGGTTTCGGTGGCCGGGGCGGTCGCGGCGGCTTCGGTGGCGGCTTTGGTGGCCGGGGCGGGTATGGGGGCGGTTTTGCTGGCGGCTACGGCGGTGGCTACGGTGGCCCACCCGCTGCTGGTGCTCCTGGCGCCCAGCTCTACATTGGGAACGTGAGTCTTGTGCGAGGTGATCTGTGACGTTCGTTGCTGAGTGAGCTACTCCTGGTTTGCGCCTGCACTCCAGCTGCCGTTCCAGGCTGGTTGGCAGGAGCTCAAGGACCTTTTCCGCTCTGCTGGAAACGTCGTCCGAGCCGATATCAACCTAGGCTTTGACGGCCGACCAAAGGGCAGCGGTATTGTCGTCTTCGCCACTCCAGACGACGCTCAAAACGCGATCAACATGTACAATGGCTTTGACTGGAATGGAAGACAGATCGAAGTTCGCGAGGATCGCTACGCCGGCGGAGGAGGCGGTGGATTTGGGGGAGGCTACGGTGGGGGCTACGGAGGAGGATACGGAGGAGGCTACGGTGGAAATTACGGCGGAGGATACGGTGGAGGAGGGTATGGCGGAGGCTTTGGCGGTCGCGGAGGCTTTGGCGGCCCTCGAGGTGGCTTCGGCGGCGCCCGAGGCGGCTTTGCTGGTGGCCGTGGTGGCTTCGGCGGCGGATACGGCGGTGAGCCTCGTGCGCCCTTGCCGCCCGCAGAGCCAAGCCAGCAGATTTTTGTGAAGAACGTAAGTTTCGTCGCTTGAGCATTGCCTCGACTTTGAGCACGCGTTGGCTGAATCACCTCTCTTCCTACCTCTCAAACTACAGCTGCCGTGGTCCACCTCAAATGAAGATCTCGTCGAGCTTTTCCAGACTACGGGTAAGGTCGACGAAGCTGAGATCCTGTTCGAGGGCGGACGCTCCAAGGGTGTCGGTGTGGTGCAATTCGCAACCGTCGGAGAGGCAGAGACTGCCATTGCCAAGTTCAACAGCTACGTCTACGGAGGCCGCAGCCTAGAGATCGAATTCAACCGCTCTTGGCGCGACTTTGCCTCTCTGCGCTCCAGCGGGGATGCTCAAATGTCCTGAGCTCGCATCGTTTAGCCCATCGCAGCTTGGCGCTAGTCAAGACTGTCATCAAACACAAGCTGCAAGGGCCACGCTCTGATCGCACGCAATGTACCGAATCGATCTTGCTCTGACATGCTTCCATCACCACTTCAAAAGATTCCAATCGAATCCGATGACTTTCTAATATGCTCAAGACCACCATTGCGTTGACTAATTAGTGCGATTTGCACTTCTTCTCGACGAATGTGCTGAGTCATGAATTGAGAACAGTCGTGGCAAGGTCTACATGATAGAATCCATCGTGAGCGCGGCGCGCAGCCCATCCTTAAGCAAGGGCGTTCAGGGTCGAGTTGCAGAGGTCGGGCACCTCGAAGCTGTTGGTGCGAATTCCGCCACCCCAAGGCGTGGAACCAATGTTCTTGGCCTTCGTTCCCAGACCGCGCTGGGCAAAGCGCTCCCAGATTAAGCACGTGTCTCGTCCGCCTGTGAGGGCCTTTTCGGCGGAGAGGAAAGCATCTCTAGCTGTCAGGAAGGAGGGACGGCAAGGCTGGGTCTTGAGCGCATCCAGAAGAACCTGAATGAAGAGCGTGTTTCCGTGACGAGGCACGGGCTGCCGAGAAGCGCGCTTGCCCTTGGCAGAGGAAGGCATGTTGCTGATGATCTCCTTTTCCGTCAAGTAGAATTCGTCCCACTTCTCCTTGGGTGAGTCGGGAACAGGCGGGAAGAGATTCGGATGCCAGCCGTGTGCTCCTCGGAGTCCTTCCTCGACCTGATAGAGCACTGCTGCCCAGACTTCTCCGATGGAATGCGGCTCCCACATGCCGTTCAGACTGTGATCAAGGGGCAGCAGTGAGCGTCAGCGCGAGCGAAGAACGTCTGCTCGTTTCTGCGTGCATCATCACTCACGAAGAGTACGTCTCGGGAGAGAGCGTCAGATTAGTAGAGTAAGGGTAGCGACGAATACCGTTCTTGTTGTGAGACACCCAAGAGCCCATGGGGTAGATGTCTCTAGTGGGAGAGCGCCTGCGCACAATGGTCGCAATAATGTCCCCCAGACCTTCGCCCATGCCGCTTGCCTCTCCCCAGCCGAGGCAAGAAGAGTCGGACGGAGGGCCAGTCAAGCGGATACTGAGACCGTGCGTGGCTTCATGCAGCACCACACCAGCCTCAAAGTCGCCATCGCGCTGAGTGGCATTGGCTACCGTCTTCCACTTGTACATGCGCATGCGGCCAGGTTGCCCATCAGGAGGGGTGGTGAAGTCGGCATTGTTGATCCCAGCAGCGGACTGCGCGAACGCCAAGATAGCATCGCCACCTTTGCCTTTGCCTGGCTCTTGATATTCTTCGAAATTTCCAGATTGAGCGGTGAAACCGTAGCGATGGAACAGGTCGTGATACGCAGAGACGTGATAGAACAAGTTGGTGACACTTGCGTTGGCGTACGCCTCGGGCGCCAGATCCTCGTGTGCTTTGTCCGCTTTGCGCCAATCGAAGGGGAAGATGAAGCTCAGATCGCCATTAACGAGCTTTCCGTAGGCGGAAAGCGATCTGTTCGAAGGCGGAGACATGGTCGTACCGAATGCGGATGCCCAGACGTTGTTGCCTCGCGTGTAGTCATACGTCTTGTTGCCGACGCTGTGCCAGCCAAATGGGCTTGCGATTGAGTCGGCCCATCCTGCCACAGTGGTGCGATTCGCTTCGGTCGGGTCATTGGCAGGCCAGGCGAGGACGCGATATTGAAGTGTGCCAATGTCAGAGGGGCGTGAGATCTTCTCGACTTCGGCTGGTTGGGTCGCAGCATCTGCAACGGCTTGATGCTTGGCTGGCCGACCATGCACCTCAGCCCAATTGGCGGCCAGATCATGCTCTCCGCCGGAGTAGTCTTTGTTCCAGTCGTGAACGTTGAGAATGTCACCCGTCTCGATGTCGACGGTAGCTTGGTAGAAGTTGGAATGGTCGGGCCAGTCCATTGGCACATTGAGTCGCCACGCCAGGCGCAAGCCTCCTTCTCCATCTTGGGACCACACGCGACGCGCAGCCACTGCGCCGGTGGTGCCTGGAACGCTCTGCAAGCTGCCGGCCTGCTCAGCGGTGTCGAAAGGCTCGCCGTCGCGCTCCTGGATGGGCGAGAGCTGGATGGGCGACGCTGCAACTTCGAGTGCTGCTGGCGATGCGGTGGCACTTTGCAACGTCATTGCGAGCATCGTATTGGGAGTGGCATGGGCCATGAAGTAGAGCGCGGCGTAGCGAGGGTCCCGTGCCGCTTGCTTAGAGCCGGTGAGCGTGTGTTGTTGATAGGCTCCTTCGTCTCCAGCTCCAAGCACCAGCTGATCGCGTTTGTACAGAGCACCGCCATCATCGCGCGATGCTGAGCCGACCGCGGCAAATACAGGGTTTGGGCCGTTGTAGAGGGTTGAGCTGTAGGAAATGACTTGGCCGTCGGTGCCCACAAGGAGCTGCAGACTTGCGTCATCCACATCGATGCCGTTGATGGACTGCTTGACAAAGATGCGAGAGATGCCTGAAATGTCATCGGTGTATGATTCGGGCAAGACGCGAAGCTTGCGCGAGCCGTCAGGCCCCTGCTGCAGCATTTCACGATGGGCAGACTCGAGCTCAGCGAGGTACAAGGCGATATGTGTGGGATCCTTGAGATGCGTGGGAATCGCTGAGACGTGATGGTGCGACTGCTGTAGAGCGGCACCAGCATGATCAGAGTGAAGCGTCTCTGCATGCATGTATGATCGCTGACGAGCGTGTACAGCGCCAAAGTTGAGACTGCGTCTGCCAGTGGGGGAGAAGACGTTGGACTTGTGCAGCTCGTGGAGCTTGATGGAGGAGCTGGGTGCGGCGGACAGGATGGCCAGAGCCACCGCTGCCACGAGCGCAAGATGCGTGCGACCCAGCAGAATCATATTGAATGTCTGGGCAAAGCTGCAGGCGTGGAGAAAGGGGAGGAGGTGCGGATGCCGAGTGTAGAGGGTGAGATCTGTCTCTTGCGCGCGTGTAAGATGTGGGGGTCGAGGCGGGTGTCCCGACTCTGATGCTGCACTTTCCTGCTATTTGAACGGGCAAGCGCTGTGAGCAATGGAAATCAAGAATGGTGGTGGTGGTGGTGGT